GTATGTTTCTACTTTTTTATTGTTGGCCTCGATTTTTTCCTCCCCCTTTTCGATTCGCGTCGGTCAGTTCTCTAGCCTCCTAAGAACCGCAGAATCAGCATCCGGCCCACCCCGTTCCGGCTGTACTGGGGTTGGATTGATGATTGCAGCTGCACGGGGCTCCTGGACCCGGCTCTGGAGCTGGGCTATAGCCAATTGCTGGGCTTGCAGCATGTCAAAAATCATTTTAAGGTTGATAGTCTCTTCGCCGACTGCCTGGGCCCTCGAATCGTCCTCTCCCCGGACGTTATGCGATGATCCGGAGGCCTGATCAGTGTTGAGCGCCATCCGGGAACCGGCATCTATCGGGTTTTCGAGCCCGGGCATTCCATTGTTTCCCGTCTGCTGTTCAAGTTCGTTGTTAATTGATTGTGCCATTCTATGAGTTGGTAATTTGAACGTAAGATGGAATCTTTTGCAAAGAACCAGTGTATTGTGATGCGTCAAGAAAGAGTATCAAAGAGCTCACCAATATCCTTAGCCCCACGGTGGGCGCCAAACTGTTTACCCTCGAATCCGGATAACAATTGAATTTATATGGGGTTTTAAGGATCCGTGAACTAAAAGATACAAAAGGTTTTTAGGTTAAGGAAAATAAAGATAAAGACTCAACAATTGCTGTTAAAGTAAATAATCGCAGAATATAATATTGCTTAGAACAATTGTGCTTGATGATCCTCAAGAATTTAGAGAGATCCCCCTTTATACATTCTGATTAAGGGTAAAAATAAGGTAGGTCAATTGATTACATCGTGGATCCCTGTAATTACGCCTTAATGGCCTGAAGTGGTTGAGAAAATCACGTTTGGGCGAGATATCCGGCGACGCTTGGTTATCCGTTACGAGTCCGGCTTTCGACCTTGTGTGTTTCTCCATCCGGTGGTGACTCCTATCGAGCTCTGTAACGGTCTCGAAATGACTCGACCTCGGTTGTAGACGTGGCCGTCGTTCTACCTTGCATCCAGGTCGGGTTTGATGGCCCCGATTTGCTCCGGTCCGGACCCAACCCGGTCGGGCTCAAGCAAAAAAGGGTATCACCTAATACAACTAGCTTAATAGCTAATACTGTCTAGGGGACGAAAAAAAAGTATGCGACACAAATCGACTTTGACCTTAGATATTTCTTGTTTTAAGAAAAAAGAAAAAATTGCAGTTGGACCAAGTCATGTCATGACTCATGCCCATTGGTAATTTGTGTGAGCTTTCATATATAGTTGACTGGAAAAATTGATCTCATGTCATCAATGGCCTGTGGTTGTATGTTCCTTGTCTTATCAAAACGCAGATTTTTCATACTGATATTTCATTTTTTAATATATTTTCATGGCTAGTGTTCACAGATTTTCCCGCAGACCAAGTCCATTATTATGAAGCTTTCTCCAACAAGAAAAAAGTAGCAGAAGAAAAGTTGAATCATTCAATTCCAACCACAGTTTTACCATATACTGAAATTCGAGTGTCACTTTCTTATTATTTTAATTCATGCTAGCCATTCTATTATATAAGTATTAAGTTGACCAGGTCACTTACTTAATCGCAATTATTCCTAACAAAAAAGAATTGCGGCTGATGACTGGAAAAAGTTTACTTATTTCGGTACCAAATATTTTCAAAGGAGAAATGAATTTTCCATATATCGGTTTGGTTTATATTTCTTTATTGCAATTAATAATGGTTATCTAATGTTTACGTAGGCTTTGAAAGGGAATCAAAACCCTCAGTGATGTTTTCGATAATATTCTTGTCTCCTCTGAAATATTTTCAACGATTTAATCACCAAGGTTCAACGCTTGAGAAAGCCCCTAAGCTTATCATAGTAGTATTAATAATATAATTTTGAGATATGAATAATGTGGCCTTTTGAGATGGAGCAAATTCTACTGTTGAAGAAAAAAAAACTTTTTTTTTCTATATTTTGATGGTCAGCATAAATAGTTGAAGAAGGAAAAGAGAGAAGAGCAACAACTTCTCATAATATTTTAATTAAATACTTTTACGATTCCTGTAAATTGTAATCAACTTTGCCTCTTCGAATAGATTAAGTGCCACGACAAAGGCAAGTATGGGGCAACGGTTGCAAGCGTAACCATAGTTTATTGTTGAACTAGACAGAAGTTGCTTCGTACAAGACCTCAACTTTTTTACCTTTGCCTAAAAAAAAAAATTCTGGAGACAAAAAGGAAAAGATATTGGCAGCTTAGATCATCACCCATAACGTAACAAGTCTTTCGTTTCAATTCATGTGACATAGTTTAAATTTATTACATAATTTAAAAAAAATTAAATTTACAATATCGCGAGACTTCAGCTATTATAAATAAAAACATGTCATTAAGAAAAAATAAAATAATAAATATTAAATTGATTTCAAATATATAAGAATATCATGTTTAAGAAGCTAATAACAAAAATCATGTTATAATAGAGATAGGAGGGATAACCATATTAATTTTGCAGAATTTATTTTTTTGTTTTATTTTGCATTTGATTTGGATATTGCTTTGGGGTCGACTAATTCGGATTACCATAAAAAGAATTCCACTTTGCTCTCCACCAAAGATGAGTCCATTTCCATAAGTCGAATATGAGGGTGAAGAGTACATGCACCAAACCATAGGCGGACCTATGCATTAGGAAGAGGGTCACCGAACCCGATTAACTTATGAGGCACTAGCAGTCACGGAGTCATAATTTTTATCAAAGGATGTCAAAATATAAAAAATTAAATATACCGAAAAGTTAAGGAAGTCAAAGTAAAGTAAATATACATAAAACGAAAAAGAATTATCTAAAAATACAGTATAATTTTCGGATGAAGGAGTCTCAAAACTTTAAACCTCGGGTCCGCCTCAACTTTAGTTGCTTTTTGCATAATCCTTGATGAGATGAATAAACCTCAAATATAGATATAACAGGCCACGGTTCCGCCAGTGTTCATGGTCTCTGTCTATAAATTGGTACCATTGACAACAACTGAACATGATACCGTTAATTAATACACACAAACTTGAAAATTCATAGCAACTAATTTCCCAGCAAAGCAAACAGCTCAAAATTTATTCCATCAAATTCAAAACATTTTTATACACTGTTTTTTCAACATTAATGGAAAATTAGCATAGCTCATATATCACCACATCTTTCAGTTCCAGGGTGCCCATATATATCTCCTGTAACCCAAACCAAACAAACCGCAGGATATCAAGGCAATAAAAAAAAAAGGAAAAGATTTAAATGTTTTCCAAATTCAACTACATGCCACCAGAAACCTAAACAGAACATCAACTAATACTGATGCTATAATTTTTATTTTTTAACTTACTATTTCTAATTCACTTCTGCGGACCTTGGTGAAGCGTAAAGATAACTCGGCAACGGACTTGCCCTCGGCGATTTCATCGGCACCTCCGGCAAACGATTCCCGTTGCTATCATAATAAATCACGCCGGAGAAATCCAACGGCTGACATTTATCCCCCATCAATATACCTCTCTGCCACAATCCTCCATCTCCAAAATCCTCATCAACCAGCTCCCCTTCCGCTTTTTTCTTGTGCCTCAAATTAATCGCCTTGTTACTAATCGTCGCGAAAAACTTCTTCGGCTTCGCCAACGGCGATTTAGGCGAATCGCCCCCGAGTTTTTGGGTTTTAATTCCTCGGCTAGCTTTTTTCAACCACAAAGCTAACAGAGACATCGAACCAATAAAGTTCACCATAAGCCGCTTCGACGAGCCCGCTATCGCCGTGGCCGTGGCCCGGCCCGGAGTTCGTGGTGGTGTTAGCAGAACCATTTTCCTCTGTTTTTGGTTTTTGCTCTATGTTTTTGGTTTTTGCTCTAATGAATTGTGAGCAACTGGTGAAAGAGGTTGAAAAGAGTTTGAGTTATTTATAACAGAGGGTGAGCGAGGTGGTTAACCGAAAATAGCCGGTAACTGGTTTACCCGAAATTTGACTTTCGGATTACGATTGGATTTTGTTTTATTTTGGAAATTTCTTAATTGTGTGCACAAGTGGGTTTTCTTTAAAATAATAATATTAAAAAGTCTCAGATTATATGATAATGTAGTTTGCCAAGAACTCAAGTTCAACGGTTTTGTTGCGTTTTAAGTAATTTAATTTTGTTCTCATAATTAAATCTTGGCGCTTTCTTTCAAAGAAAAATAGCATAGAACTATTATTTTGATGTCATATTAAGAGTTTAAATAATTGTGGATGTAAATAATACATTTTCCAATAAATAATAAATACTCAGTACACACTACACAATTCAAATCAAAGACTTTAGCATTTGGAAAGGTCAGTTATTGGCTTCGCTATTTTGACGCAAAATAAGTGTCAATTTACATAATTAAGAAGGAATTAATTTTAGTTTTTTAAAATTTGCCCTTATTTATATATTCTAATGTGTCCAGGTAACAATTAGTTAATGTTAATTTAGTGATTACTTCTCTTTTCTTCATTAGGAGTTCGTATTTCTTTAATGGGTATGAAAATGCTCACTTATTATGAACCGGATAGAGTAATATACCATGTCAGATTCGATGATAAAGTTGTTAACTCAGATATTAATATGCTTCATCATTTTTATAATATTCTTTCCATATTTTATTGCTTCAAAATTCTTAAACTATTTAAATTCCATGTCAGTTATAGAATAAGGATCGTGGATTTAGGCAAAATGAAGAATTGAAGATAAAATAGTCAATATAACAGTAATCAAGATACTATTTCAACAAAATCTTACACATATATGGACAAAAAATGGCAATATTTCTTTTTCAGCAATTTATCTTATATAGGTAAGTAGTTTGTTTTTGTTATAAATAGAATTTTATTTATGGTGAATGTCTATATTTAGAGAGATTCTAGGGTTTATTATTTGGTGGCTAAGTCACCCTCTCCCTATAAATAGAGGGGTCCTATTCATTGTAAATCATCCCAAAATCAATAAGAATCCTTTCTCTCTCTCTTTCTCTGCAAGATTATTCTTCTACTTTTATTGTTTTATAACATGTTATCAGCACAAGACTCTAACCAATTGAGTAGAAGCTTTGGGATTGAGCATAATGATTGTCAATTATTCCATGAACTTCCTTCATGATTAAATTCTGGATTTAAGGTAAGTATTTTACCGTATTTTTCTCTTTTATTCTATACTTTGATTTTAAATACATGCAAAGACAACAAAGTTTGATAATAACTCTAATGGAGTTTGTAAGAAATTATAACCACCTGAAGTGGTAAAATTTCTATGCCTCGCCATGATCAAATTCATGTATGATTGTGGGCAAAGAATTGAAAACCCGTCCCATTGAATTTGCTCCATTCTCATTCCCTTAAGAGAATGTGATAGCAGTATGCGGTAAGTCTGAAAGAAGACAAAATTATTACTATGAATGTATTAATGGATATGGACGTGGCAATAGACGAAATTATAATCGTCATCATTTGTGGTAATGAGAACAATAAGGATTCTCAAAATAATCTTTCACTCTGTGAAAAATATTTGTCATCGATTTGACATGAGATTTTGTAAAGCACATATAGATGATTATAGTCCGTTCATGATGCGAATGTGACAACATCTGATTTATGATTACATATTCATTCTTCAAAGAATATGAACGTGCTAGTGGTAGTGAATATACCGCACTCACCTCTAAAAGGAGGTTTGAGATGATATAAGAAAATAATGTCATTACTATGGCATGAATGGTCATTGGTCACGTACCTATTGTACGCCAAAATATTTTGGCATTGTGATTGTTAAAAGATAACGGTAATACAAGAAACAGATCTTGCATATAATTTTGACCATAACCATAATGGTATAACTTTCTCTTTAAAAGAGATATTCACCATATGGGTGTTGATGAATATGTGGTACTACAAAATTAATTGAGAACTCTGCAAGAGCCAATTATACTATTTTGGAGAAACACAATTAATTACCAATAAGGAAACTTATTCAGTTTCCAAAGTATACGCGAAAGTGGTTGAGTATATTGAGACTATAAATAAAGGAAAGATTTAATATCTTCTATTAGTACAACTTGTAGCGGGGTAATATATATGTGAAAAGCTACCCGCTTTATTCTTCAATTTGTACTACATAAACAAAAGAATACCACAATGAAGTGGGTATTTATTGATATAAAAACCCATATCATAATAAACTTGGAGTTTATTGATAATTGCACACGTCATGGCGTAAATTTGAAGTTTATCAATATTGATAATTTATTCAGTTGGCATAATTGGTTTAGCCATATCAATTTAAGTATGATGTGCAAAAAATAAAAGAGAATTCACATGGGTAAATATTAAAGAACTAGAAAGTTCTTTACGAATTCTATTATGTTGCCTGTTCTCATTAATTAATATACCAATTAAAATTGGGATTGAATCCCATGAATGCTAGAAATATCAAAGGTGAATATGGGCCCATTCACCTGCCATGTATACCACATAAGATGCATCTATGAGATGGTTACATGTGCGATTATTAATAACCCGCAACATGGTATTTTGCGAGGTAACTTGCTCAATAATTTAATTTCGAGCATAATTTCCAGATTTTCTATTCAAGAAGTTCATCTTGATAAGTTGGTTTAGCAAAATGATTTATTAAGTGCCTCTACTTAATAGCTAAACAATTACTTATGAGAACAAAGTTATCTATATCGGTTTGATATAGGTTATATACGAAAGTATATTATATTCTCCCCTTACAAGTGGTTCATAGTCAGGAACCAAATAATTCCATCTTATTATTATTGATGTGCGGTGTATATTTTGATTAACACCATAAAGCACAAAGATGAGTTCTCAAAGTTGAGAAAACAAGTTAGTTTTTCTAACATGAGGGGGAGACATGATAAACAGTTGAGAAAAAGTTACGTGGAATGAATTATCATTTGTTCATATAGATCCTCGAATAAGATAATATGAATTTGAAGTTCATAAAAAGGATAATTCATGTGCAATTATTGCAAACCATGCCAGTGCATTTGCTGAACCAAAGAAAGTAACTATATTCCCATTGCAAATGCTCATATTAAGTCCTATAAG